TCAAAAGTGTTAATGATATAAGGTATAAAAGATTCATAAAGCTAGAACATATCCGAGGATCATTCAGAACCAAGAGATCGTGCGTTTTTTTATCGTTTAGATTTGTATGACGTCATTTTTTGACCACAATAAAGATACTTTGTACACAAGCGTTATATATCATTTTGTAGTTTTTGAAAATTTATTTAATATTTACGTATTAGTTACAATTAATTTATTGATAATTGTTTCTCGCTTTACTACAATCATGGAAAATTTCAAAGTTCGAGTACTTTTGGATGTGCGGATCGATCGCACCAATCAGGATGGGTCACATCAATGCGCACTACGCACAACGAACATCGATTGCGCAGGTAGAAGGATCAGCCATTGTTCACGGCCAACGATCCTCACTGTTCGTCAAGGCGCCATTAAGTGAAGAAGTGTTCGATTTTATTGTTCTCTAAAATCTCTTGTACTCGCGATAATTATTACACTCACGCTCTTTGAGTGATCGTTTTGCGACACTCAAACTCACATCCCGTGTAATTAGTATAATTCTACGGGCCGAGTTCATAGTGAATCGGGGTTTTGTAAAATCACACTCTCGTGTAACGGTCACGATCAGTAACAGCGTGTCCTTCATTTAAACACTCACGAGAATCAATCAGTTATTGCAAACTCTCGTTTCATTTCAGCGACGCGTGTTTGAAGATATTGTATTCAAATGACCGACCTCTGTCGAGGTGATAATCTTTTATATAGTAAACGCGCTTTAAACATTACAACTGGCTCAATTATTTTTTTCACGAATTCACGTCACCTAATCCGGAACCTGCTAATTAAACTCGGCCAACTCAAACACTTTTAGTTTCACATCCAGAAGCAAGAATAAATAGAGTTTTGTGTGAACCTATCCTTGAGCAAGCAACATAAGGTCGCCAATAAAGGAAGTAAAATAGCAAATTGATCACGATCAAACAAAATAGAACCTGCCACACTCACTGAAAGATAAATCATGCTAGAACATACACACATACATCCATCTATTTTTATATATGCAGATACTACAATAAGTACATGAAATGTAAAATACAGCCAGTTTGTTAAGCTCAATCTCTATAATGAAAATAGTGTGTCATCTCAAAATTTTCTTAACGGAAGATTTTACCATGTACATTAACTCGTTACGTGTTATATTCCGAATAGAAATTTGAACACTGGACGATCAGTAAACAACCTGTTGAGGTTTTAGTTAATAAAGATGTTTATTAATCAAGATAAGAGATAACGTACATGGTAGCTTAGTATTTTAAGAATACACATTGCTCGTGTGTGCACGAGGTGACTCGATTCGAAACCGGCAACGATTGACTGCGTGAATCGGCGCACGCGGCGCTACTCGCGCTATGCGCTACTGTACCCAACACAACCATTTTCTACTAGCCAGTGTCTAGAAATTGACTAGTTTTTCTGGCTAATTAATATTCAAGTGGTAGAAAATTTTTTAGTCAAAGAATGATTATGAATCTAAATAGATCGTTTGTGACTCATTGTAAATTAGATTTTAAACAATTAGTATCTATCCTATCAATTGATAATCATTATTTGCATAAAAATAATGGTCACTGGTTTTATACATTATTAATGTTTGCATATACATATTTTACAAAATAATGAAAGAATAAAGCTTGTATTATCGATAACATTACAAGTGTTCATACATTATTCGTCCTCCCCATTGCTGGATCCTTTGGATATACTTTCATAAAAATTGAAAATAGTCTTACAATTGTACATGTAAAGCAGTGAGAGAATAAAACTTCTATTAACGGTATACCTTTATGTTGTATGTTCACTATATCTTCTTTCTGCATTTATATTGGAAATTGTTCAGTATGTACACTTTTGGAACTAAGCCCTTTAACTTAGTGATCGTCCTTCGATTTGTTCTTCTTTATATTCTCTCATTTAATTCAGCTCATGTTCCTAAAAATATAATTTAGTTCGTCGCATTATATTCTTGACAGTTACCGTTTTGAAAAATTATTACTTTATCACGATTATTTTATGAAATGTCATAACTTATGGCACTTACAATTCACATGTTCAACATACATATTCCAGACGAATCAGACGAATAAGCAAATTCAGCCTTACACGGTATCATTGAGGGCAGCACTTGTGGGCTCAAACAGAGCTGTTTTCCCTTCCGTTTTTGGAAGTCCACCCGCTCACCCATAAGTCCATTTCGTACATCGTCCTTCTGATCCATGAAGTCGATACAGATGTTATGCTCATTGGAATATGCCGCCTAAGATAAAGTATAACCAAGTAGTCGAAGCCGAAGACGCCGGAGAAAGCACAGGACAGGTTGCCTAGGCGGAGACCGGGACCATAACTAATCAGAGTCAGTTTAGATGCTGGATTGAAGAAGCTGGTCGTTTATTCAGTCCGGTGGCGTCTACTCCATAGAGTTATTACAGACTGAGTTGGAAAGGTTGCCCGAAAACCGTATCCTGAATAGAAAGAGAGAGACAATAAGAGGCCTTTCTTTATCTCTTTCTCCTAGCGCATGATAGAAAGAGACAGAAAGAGGTCTTCTATTTTCTTTCTCTATCTTATGAGTATACGGTATCACTTACACAAGAGCCGATGTCTTCCCTACTCTATCTATAACTAGCGACCGTAATTACGGAGCTCCTGCAGGATATTCCATTTGTTATCATTAATTTTTATTTTTTGCTGACAAGATCCAAAGATAAGAGGAAAACAACAGTTAGAAATTAATAACGCTATAAATTGTTACAGGATTGTCGAGGACGACAAGAAATAGTCAGTTTGGCCGAATACGGTCAATGTTTACGACGTATCGAAATACGTCGTTACAATGTATACATATACATCCGACGGATGATTATGCATTTGATATCCTAACTTCGGGACCGTTGGTCTAAAATCGAAGAAGGACTGGGAGTCGGGATCAGTTTCGTTCGTACCCCAATCAAAGACGTATCGTTGCAACATTTTGATCCAATCGACCTACTGATCACTCTCATCCATTCACTTGTACTGAATTCGCATTATTAACCCCTTGCACTATTTTGACGAGTCTGACTCGTGATGAAAATTTTAGGCCAAACATGGATGTCACAAGTCGGACTCGTTCAGTTCCAGACCAAACATGAATATCACGAGCCTGACTCGTACTCGATATTTCAGGCCGAACATGAATATCACGAGTCCGACTCGTGGTCTTAGTTTTGGACCAATTATGAACATCTCGAAGAGGATTGTTTTCATC